AGGCTGGATTTGAACTCTGGTCCTCCTGACTCCAGGGCCAAGGCTCTATCCACCATGGCACCTAGCTGCCCCCAAAGTAGGTTTCAAACCCAGGTTCTTTGATGTGAAATCCAGTACATTTTCCGCTCTCCTGCCCATGCTTAAGAATGGGTGTAATTTTGAGCTTCAGCTAAGATAGATGATAATATTGGGAAAGGGGGAAGTTAATAGGAGAAGCTGATTTCTGAGGAAAGGCCATGAGCTCAGTTTTGGATGCATAGAGTTTGGGGGTACACTAAGGCAGTATCAGTCTCTGTAGGATCTAGGCAAAGATACTCTGTAGGCAACAGCAGAGGCAAGGTGGGGGCTTGGCTAAGACATAAGGGAAGAAGGGACATACACCTTGGGAATAAACAAACTTGTCAAAACTGTGGGACAGGGAAATGATTCGTTAAGGGAAAGGAGAGAGACCAAGAACTAAAACCAGTTAGTGAGCCAGAAAAGAGAAAGAAGCCAACAGCAGAAACAGAAAGGAGAGAAGGGCAGGGGGGAAAAAAGCCCCTAAGACCTCTCCTGTTACCAAGACCTCAGGACAATAGAGTTTTCCCAGTGGAATGATGGTGGGTGTCTACACCTGCAATTTGTCCATCTTTCGACTCTACAAGTCTTCCACATCCTTCAAGGCCCAGTTCAAATGCTACCTCCTTCCTGAAGACTCCCCTGGATACTCCAACCCACAGAGAGCTCTCCTGCCTCTGAACAGATTGTCTGCAGTATTCATTGGCCCTATGGCACAGTCATAGACTACTTTTGGAAGGGGCTTGGAGCTCATCCAGATCAACCCTTTCATTTTACAGATGAAGAAACCGAGGCTCAGAGAGGGGTAGTGATTTGTCTGGTGTAGAATGAGCTCTTCACATGGATTCAGAAGTCCATGAATTTGGGCACAGGATCTAACAGTAAAGCACCATACATACTTTTTAGCAATTATATATGTATGTCCTATCTCCTGCACTAGACTGTAAGCTCCCTAAGGCCAGGGACCATCTTTTATTTCTTGCCTTCACTCATAGTTTCTAGTGCTGTGCCCTTCACAACAACACAGTAAGCACTTAGTAAATGTTTATTGAATGAATGAATGAGGAGGAGGAAGTTCAGGTGTAGAGAATGAAAATGGTGGAGGTCCAGGCAGAAAAGGGGTCCTGGAGGTTAGTCCAGGAGGAGCTAAGATTCCTGTCACCTGCCTCCCTGGCCCCACATAAAAAGTCCTCCCCTTCCAGGTGGTGAGCAGGTGCATAATCTGATAAACAGGTAGGGCTATAAATGGGATGGGGAAGTAAGCCGGATGAAGGAAGCTAGGGGAAACTAGGAGGGAGGCATGAGACTGGGAACAGGGGACAGGCAGATTAATGTTCTAAGAGGGGAGCTGGCTGTAGGGTTTTGAGCAGAGGGACAGCTACATCCTGACTGTTGGCAGTTTTCCCTGAGCAGTGGCAGTGGGGCTCTTATCACCACTGCATTTCCTCATCAGAGATGCTTATAGGAGATTATTGTTCGGTCTGCAGGATGTCTGAGGCCATTCTCACTTTGTGAGAACTCACTGGGAAGTAGAGTTCAGGTCTTAGGGCTAGGAAGGACCTTTGAGATCAGCAAGTGCAATCCTCTCATTTACAGACAAGGAAACAGTTTCAGAGAGGTTAAGCAACTTTCCCACGGTTGCACAGCTACCATTAACAGAAATGGGGCTAGAACTCAGGTCTCCTAACTGGCACTCTTTCTACTCTTGAGACTGAGCTGGGGCAAAGAAGTTCATCTTCCCTGTTTCCTTCTCTGCTATGGGAATAATCAGTCAATAAGACCCAGATATATGGGAAATGAATGAGTAGTCTTAGTGAAATGCTGGGAAGGCAGAAGAGGGGGAGAGGCTGGCCCCAGTCCCCTCGCCCCAATTTCATGGGGCAGAAGCACCTAGAGTTTGCAGTGTACCTGCTCTGTTCTGTGTAATAGAGTGAAAGGGGAGAGAAGCCCAGGCATTCTGAACCCTCTGGATATAGATCAGCCTGTTCTTCCTCTCCACTGCCAAAACTGAAGACCAGCAGACTTAGCCCCCCATGACCTGGCCTTTCTCCTTACTTTATCTATACCAGGGCTACTGAGGCCAGTGCTGGTCTCAGGAGCCACCCAGTGGTGGTGCTAGGAATGGCCACCAGTCTACCTTGCTGTGACCCCTTCTTAGAGCTACACCCTTTGACTCTGCCCTTCTTGAATGACTTCTCCTCTCGGTTTCTGCTCTTCCACTCCCTCTGAGCCCTTTTTGCCCCAGTACCTGCTGTGGTACAGTGGGGGGAAAAAAGCACTGGAGTCAGGGGACCTGGGTTCAAGTCCTGACTCTTGTCTATTATCTTCATGTTTTGGGGAGTTAACTGTAAAATGAAGTTTGGTGAGGAGGTCAGACTAAACAGTCTCTAAGAAAGTCCTGTCTAGTTTTAAATACTATTATATGGAGTTGCTCTTCTATCCACAATGGAACCATACCAAAGGGTGACCCAGCAAGGGGTTGGGGAAGAGGAATTAAGGAAAGAAGGGGCATTTGTCACCAGCTTTGTTCACTCTCCTGGGTAATGCAGCCGTGCTCTGCTTTGTGGGCTGGTGACCATCACTGCTCACTGCCTCATCTTTCTTTTTCCCTTCCTCATCTCTTCTCTTCTACTTGTTTCTCCCTTCCCCCCTCTCTGTCTCTCCTCTTCTCCTCTTCCTCTTCCCCCCCTTTTCCTCTGTTCCTCTCTCCAGTTCCTGCTCCCTTCCTCCACCTCTCTCTCTCTCTCCCTCAGCTCCTTCCCATCACTCTGCCCAGACCTTCAGTACAGACACTCCCTCTGGGATTCTGCAAGCTTTCCTTCCCCCATCCTCAACCCTAGCCAACCAAAGACACCAGCTGTTTCCATCTGTTAGAGTGTAACCTTCTCTCAGCCTCAACAAGAGAGGAACATACTGGGCAGGGGTGGGGGGATAAGGTGGTGGGGGTAATTTTCAGGGTAGACTTGGGAAGATGGTCTGTGTTTGGAGGGTGATTGTAGATAACCAGCTATTTCCCCCATAGCAGACATCTCTCTCAATGGGCTAATTCCACCTGTCTCCTGTTCCTTCTCCTTCTTATGAGCCTAAGAATAGGAGGCCAAGGAGGTACACATGTAACCAGCACACGTGCAGGTTTTTGTTGGGTTTTTTGTCCTGTAGACCAGTGTAGTGTATTCTTGCAATGTGCACATCGTTGTACCTGTCTTTCTCTCAAGCATTGTCTTGTGCCCATACACACATGCCACCTGCACACACACACCCTAATCTTTTCTCCTCTCTTCCAACCCCCCCCCCGACTCTGACCAACTTGGGAATAGGTATATGAACTCCTAGGGATGTTTGCCTACCAGAAATTCCAATTTTCCAATGTGTAAGCTGCCTTATAAGTGTGCTGAACTATGCAATCCAGTCATGATAATGGAAAGAATACTGCATTTGGAGCCAAAGTGTGTCCGTTCCAACCTCAGCTCTGCTATGAATGATCCATGTGACCCTGGGCAAGTCACTTAACCTCTGGGCTTCAGGCCTTCTCATCTATAAAAGGAGGACTTTTGACTAAATGACTCATAAGGTTCCTTCCACTTCTAAGATGAGTATGTGATATTATGAACCATAGAGCTTGGCTAATCCAACCCCCTCCATTTGCAACTGAGGAAATTGTGGCCTAGAAAGAAAGCTAGATTTGCCTATAGTCACACAACACAGCATCTCCAGGAGTTTTTCTAGTTTGGAATATTATGGCATGGTGAGTCCAACACTCTACTTTCCCACCATCTCTGAGATTGTCCTGTGTGAGTACATGTGCAAATGTTCTCATGCATGTACGTGTGTTATACATGTGCCATATTGGCTCAAATCTAGGCCGCCTTGCTTTCTGTGAAACCCCAATGTACCCCACACTCAACTGGTGTTACTTTTCAGAGAATACCTCTCTATAATTGTTTCTTTCCAGGAGATCTGATGTCTAGAATGGAGCTTCTTCTGTTCAGGTAGCTGATGCCTGAGCTAAGATGTCTAGAGTGTAGCTTCTTCTGTTCAGGTAGCTGATGCCTGAGCTAATATCCTCATGAATGCCCTGAGGTCAGACACACATCTTTCTGTGCACAGACACCTCTTACCACCCCCCTGATGCTTACTCCTTTCTTACCTTGCCTCTTCCTGCTCCAGATCCTCATTTCATCTATGTGATATCTGCCTGGTTGCTCAGCACCGTCTGATCTGGGCAAACCTCCATCTAGAGTTCCAGAGGTGTCCCTCTTGGGCTTCTGTACATTGCCATCTGTTGCCCGCACTCCCAGGCCGTTGGCATGCGTACAGCATTGGTCTTATGTCCTGACACCTGAGAATCCCTTCTCCCCTTGACCTGGAGAATAGCCTGCCCCCCCCCCCCAGTGCCTCTTCAGACCAGTCCTCTTCAAAGCCATGGGGAAAGCTAGCCACAGTGTCTGGTACGTAGTCTGTTCTCATGAGACAGTTATATAAAAATACACGCATGGAGGAAGCATTGTTCTCTAAAACACATCAGATTCTGAGAAAATAGGAATTGAGGTGTGTAGGTGAGGCTCAGGCGCGGGAATGGGACTGGCGTTGTTTCTGGGTAATTAGCCAGGGTTGCTCAAAGATTCCATGGGTACCATCTTCTGTCGTTCTCCCACTCTGGTTACAAATTATCCAATAGAGCTTGAAACATGGTGAAGGACAGGAAACCAGCAGGTGTCAGGATCCTAAGATCCCTCCATTTTAGGGATGGGGGAAGCCTAGGGTCACCAGGCTAAGCCACAGGAAGCCACATTCTTGGAGTACTTCCCCTACCCCAGCTCCCGCCCCCTTCCTGGCTTTTCCCTCCCTATGCTCCCACCTCCCACCCCAATCCTTCCCCCAGAAACCCTGAGAGGCAGAAAGAGACTGACGCTGTCCCCCTTCCGTGTCTTTTCCTTACCCAGAGTTTCCCTACACCCCGTCTCCAACCGAACACGACAAGCGATCTGGGTCCGGCGTCCCCACGCCCATCATTGGGGGCGTGGTGGGGGGCATCATCCTGGTGCTGTTTGTGGCGTTGGTGCTTGTGGTCTACTTCCGCCGGCGCCGGCACACCTTCAAGGGGGACTACAGTACCAAGAAGCATGTCTACGGCAATGGCTATAGCAAGGCGGGGATTCCACAACACCACCCACCCATGGCCCAGAACCTCCAGTACCCCGACGACTCAGATGATGAGAAGAAGGCTGGGCCGCTGGGGGGGAGCAGCTATGAGGAAGAAGAGGAGGAAGTGGGTGGGGGTGAGAGGAAGGTGGGGCCCCCACACCCCAAGTTTGATGAGGACGTCAAGCGACCCTACTTTACCGTGGACGAGGCTGAGGCCCGATCTGACGGTTATGGGGACCGGACTCTTGGCTATCAGTATGACCCTGAGCAGCTGGACTTGGCTGAGAACATGGTTTCTCAGAATGACGGGTCTTTCATTTCCAAGAAAGAGTGGTACGTGTAGCCCCAGCTCTATGCCCACTCCCTTCCCCCCTCACCCGCACGACCCCAGCCCCCAAGTCCCCGAGGAGCTCAGCAGAGACTCAAGTGCCCCACCCTGAAGCCCCCCCTACACTCTCGAGGTACACGGGGAGAGGGATCAAGCTGGGGCAGGGGGCTACTTTATTTTTTATCTCTTTCCTGGATGACTGCCTTCCGCTCCCTGCCCCCTCCTTTGCCCCTTCCTCCCACTTCCTGTGGTGTTGTGTTCGACTGTGGCTTTGGTGTTCCTGTACTTTCCTTTGACTACTATCTGCCCCGTGTATATGGAGCCTGTTCATGTCTTGTTGTGTTTCTTGACCCTGGGATATGAGGGGGCAATGGTACCCAGCTATCTCCCCTCCCCCCTCATCCCTGTCCCCAAACACTGGAATTTGTTTATATGTTGTCCTCTTTTTTTTTTTCTTTATAGAGGGGGAGGGCTCCCCTGGAAGAAGCCCGACCCACCTCTCCTTCCCCAATGCTATTCCCTTTTCCTAGGTTGGGTGAACCTAGGGCCACCTTCCTCTTTCAACCGACCATGATTTAGCTAGAGTGAGTGGACAATTATAGACCACCCTGACTCATCCCAGATGGAAGGGATGAAGGATTAGAGGAAGCAAAGTGATGGGATTGGACAGTTGCCTCCAAGGATACCGTTTAAATAAGAAAAATATGGGTTGTTGACTGATAATGTAATGCCTGCACTGGTCACAGTATATTTTGCATTTTTTTTCCTCATTGCCTAACAGAAGGTTAGGTTGGCCATGATTTGATTGCTCTCTAAAGACTCCAGCGCTCGCACATGCACGCGCACGTGCACGCGCGCACACACACACACACACACCTGTTCTCTCTTTTTCTCCCCAATGACTCTAGAGAGGGTTCTTACTCATCCTACTAGCTTTTACCAACATGTTTATGTGTACACACACACACACACACACACACACACACACACACACACACACAAAATATATGCCTACCCTTGTGATTTCTTCTCTGGCGTCCCCCGTCCTTTACAGGAGCACCATATCTATTACCCTTAGCCATGAGCTTCACTCCAGGTAGACGATGACCAGGGTGTGGCCACTTCTCTTCCCCACCCCCAATCCAGAGTATCTTCCCTCCAGGAAACTGGGGATCATCCCTGGCTGAGTGAGTTGGGGAAAGGAGCCTGTCAAAGAAAAACTAAGATCTGAACATGATCAGATCAGATATGGGGCCACCTGTCTAGACCAGTCTACATTCAAATTCCAAGACCTTTGTTTCTTAGTCCCAGCCCATCCTGCAGTCTAAGGTGCTGATAGTTCCTTGGTTTTCTGTCTTTCTGTCTCCATACACAGCCAAACCCAACTCTGCTCCCCAGATCTGCAGAGGAGGCGGCCCCACAGGCTTTCAGTATAGAATGAAATTATTTAGGGAGTTAAAGGTGAAGAAATGGGGGGTGTGAGTGTGTGTGTGTGGTGTGTGTGTGTAGGGAGGGGAAAAAAGAGTTGATAACTGACTTGGGGCACTGTATAAAACTCTGGAGAGTACAGATTGATGATATACCGTATTCGAGTCAATACTAATGAAGTGACAAAGTTTAATGAAAAGGGGAAGGGGGCAGATGGATCCCTGAGTTCAAGCCCTGGAGAGTTCCTCTTCTGTTGTACCGCCTCCACTATCCTTCCTGCCCTCCTCAGATTTCATCCTGTCCTTCTACCAAAGGAGGACCATGGAGAAGGCATCCAGATTAATGCACGGCCCTTCTTGGCCCCTGGCTCCCTGGTTTCCCTACCTGTAAATGGAAAGAGAGAAAGACAGAGGGAATTCCCTCCTTCCTCTGTCTCCCTCCAAGTTCAAAGTGCCTCAATACAGCTTTCCCTCTCCCTAATCCCAGTGCCCTGTCCTTAAATTTGAGGTGAGTGAGCACGGGAAGAGAAAACTCAGGAGGGACTTGACTCTTCCCCCTTTGCTTCTGACAGTGAAGTCCCTTCCCACAAAGAGCACCAGAGATAGGTGTCAGGGAGGGAGGATTGAAAATGCTGTCTGACCAACAATTCCCACTCCTGCTCAGAGTTCTGGGTCCCACTTGATCCAACTAAGGGCCATAACTAGAGAGAGAGTGTTTCTATGGAATGATAGGCAATTGTTTGGGGTGGGGGAGGCATCCTGGAGAGCATGCATTCAGGCAACCCCTTACCATTTGCTTACTTGCCCTATACCAGATGCCACTATAGAGACCTAGGCAACCTGTAACCAGGCCTTAGTTTCCTCACTTGTAAAAACTAGATGAATTCTTCTTGCTCTAAACCTTGGGGTCCTATGATACTACCCAGAAAGCTGTCCTCTCACCCAGGTGCTGACACTCCCTTCACCCTCTTTGCCCTGATCCTGCTCTCATCCCACCATCTCTGAACATGGGTGAGTTTCCCAGCCAACTTCTGACCCCCCCAACCTGCCTGCAGGTACTTGAGCAGTGATCCTAACCCAAAGCCTTTGACCACTAGGACCCTATCCTGACCCTCCCAGTGGGCAGCCCAGTAGCCATGTAGCAGAAGTCTCAAGCCGTGCTGACCCCATGGCTGGCCCTTCCCTCTCTTGGGGAAGATGGGTCAGGGCAATCTGAGGCCTCTTCAACGATGGCAGGGTCAGGAACAGCTCTGGGACTGGATCCAGGGAGTCCCACCCAGATGCTATCTCCCCCAGCAGTATTAGTACTCTCTTTCCCCTCCTCCCCCACCCCTAAAGAGCAGGGGATTCTTCTTTATTATACCCTGCCACCCTTGGCCCACCTCACTTCGCATCCTCTTCAGTGACCAACTGCTTTGTGTGTTTGTTCCATCCAGAGGAGCCAGGGCCAGTGAGTGGACTGCTAGAAGTGTTCCTTTTTTTCTTAATTCCACCACCCCAGTCTGTTCTCAGTCCTGTTCTCCCAGTCTGGCACCTTCTGGAATCCTAGAGTCAAATGACTCTCCCTGCTCTTTCTACCCACTGGTATAGTGTCCAACCAAACCCTAGTATTTCTCTCCTTTTCCCCTTCCTTTCCCCCTCCCAAAGCAAAGCACAAAAAGCAGAGCACATAAGGGATGTGTCAAAGCATCCCCCTCCCCCGGACCCAGCAGCTGCTCCCCAGGTGGCCCACCATGACAGCCTTCAAGAGGACCAAGGACACTGGAGTGGCCATCTCCTTGAGTCCTCTTTGGCCCTCCATGCCAGGAACTCCCTGGGTAAACATGAAGATTGACATCATTTCTTTGATTGTTCTCCATGGACGAGGACCAGGCAGGGTGCTAGTGTTAGACGAGCGGAAGAGGGCCCCAGCCTCCCTTATGGCATCATTGGGCTATGCCACCTCACAGGGGAGATGCCCAGTGCCACCATAGATACCCAGCCTATTGGAAAGGATAGATGGTAGAGAAATACAGTGAGAATTAGGCTTCCTAGCTAGCTATGGGGAATGATTGGTGCAACAGCCACCCCAGCTGTTTCCTTCTGGCCTCATGCAGTGGCATACCCATGCCGTCCACTGTTCTTCCTTCCCTTATTTGATTACAGACTTTGATAATATTCTTATTCCACCACAAAGTCCATCTGAGCTCCCTTCCCTTTATCAGACCCAACATAGCAGACACCTAATACTTGTGTTGACACTCCACACACAGACACATGTAGGTGTACATGTCCACATCACACATGAATAGGTATATATATGCAAGTCCAGTTGTATACATGCTCAGACATGGGCAACTTGCAGATATGCACACACATACATACCCACACACCCATCTCCCCAAGAGGGGTAGGCTTGATCTTGCTTGAATGAAGCACTGTAGGGGGAATGCCTTTCTGATCTTAAGTGAAAAGGTGACCAAGTTTCAAGGGGTACTGGTGGAAAGAGACAGGGGTCCCAATAAACCAGGCACTATTAGTCTCTGCTTTCCTCCCGCCCTGCCCAAGTCACATGTGCAATAATTGTCCCAACTAAGAACCAGGGAGCTGATAATGCTGTCGCTAGGGAAAAGAAGGGGTGAGCCAAGCACAAAAAGTAGTGAAGGGGGTCAGATGGTTGCTCCCAGTGAAGAGATTGTGTCCTGAGAATACGGAGGAAAGGAGGGAGGATGGTCAGGAGAAAGGCTTTCCCCAAGTCCTGACCTTTTCTCAAAGAATTGTCAGGGTCGGGAGGGGGAGAGGTGAGGGATGTGGGAAGCCCCTTTGGTTTGGTGATCCTGGGAATCCCTGATGTCTTCTCCAGTCCACCCTCCTCTGACATCCCATCCAATCCAAGTAAGGACATTTGCATGTGAATGAGGCCTGGATATCCAGTCATGTCTTTCCTGGCCCCATGGAACTAAAAGGGAGAAGGTATCGCCTTCCTACCCAGCCCCCATAAATCCGGACACTCCCCAGCATCTAGGAGCTGAGCAGCAAGTCGGACTAAGTGAAACTCTTAAGAGCGCAAGTTTGGATTCCTCAATATTGATGCTTTTGATGGCTCAGAGGGGAAACCCAGGAGAGCTGGGTGAGGAAGTGAGGATATGTGTTTTAAGTGGAGTTTTTGTGGTGTTGTTGTTATTGTTACCTTTTTTTTTTTAAAGAAAAAAGGAGAAGTCCCCTCCTTGCCCAAGATTGTAATGAGCTGCCTTTTTTCCCTCCCTCCTCCCCCTTATTTCTTTGGTTGAGTGAAGCATTACCAGGGGATGGGCCCGCCAGATTCTCAATTCTGACTATTGAGTGGGGCGTTTGTTCCCCCTTTGTATAAAAAAAATTATGGGTAAAAATGTACTGAGGAAAAAAAATGTACTTTTTTATAAATAAAGAGTTTAAAACAAACTCGGTTGTCTTGTGTGTACCCTTTTCTTCCATCTAAGTTTTCAAGATCAGCCTCCCCAAAGCATCGTGATTTGGTTTGGGGTGCCCTTGGCCCAGGGCAGGCTGTCTGCTGAGGACTCTGGCAGCGGCTTGGCATTGGAATCTCTCCCTCCCATTTTAGGTGCATCTGGGCGAGGCCAAGAAGAATTGGATCTCAGCCTCCCCTCACCCCTCCTCAGTTTGGTCGTGGTGCTGTCCAGACCTGAGACTGAAGGTTTCCTGGTATAGTTCTCCCACCCTCGGTCCCCGAGAGCACATATGCGGTTCCTCATAGGGACATAGCTTAAAGTCTAGAAGGCCTAAGAGGCCAGTCGTATCCAGACCAACATCCTCATTTTACAAATGAGGTAACTGAGGTTGAGAGAGAGGAAACAAAATCTTTGCTAAGAAGACTTAGTGAAGGTCATGCACACAATAAGTGCCAAAAATCAGGATTTGAACCCAGGTCCTCTGACTCCAAAGCCGTCATTCTTTTCCTGTGATGACTTAGCTGCTCTTGGGCTGTGCCTTCCAGGAGTCTTGCACTCAAGTCTTTTTTCTCCAAGTTCACCCAGCCAGTGGCTAGGGCATGACATCTTGGCAGAGTGCTTCACAAATGAGCCCTAAGTCAGCTTCATGCCCAAGAGAGATTCCAGCTTATGAACAGTGAGTTCCAAGACCTCAGGAGGTGCCCAGTGCCCTGGGCTTAGCACTTACTATGGGCATAGCCCCAAGCTTGGCACCATGCGGAGGCACTGGCAGGAGCAGAGCAGTCTTCTGTCAGACTTCAAGTGAATAGTAGTCATAGAAATGAATACAAATTGATGTCACCCAAAGTTACCTAAGCTAAACTCAGTAGCTCATTTGGTGATAAGGAGAACAAGGGCATTGGTGCAATTTCTGAAGGTGGAGGTTGGAGTGGGGGAGACATCTCCATCCCAAACTGGGCAGAGGAAGGAGTGAGCTATGATTTTGGTCTTGGTTTATACTTGGTGATTGCAGCAATTGAAATGTGTGCATTTCAATCAACAAACATTTATTAGCCTGTCTTATGATGTGCCAGGCACCGTAAGTACTAGACATACCAAGATTAACGTGAAACGGTCCCCGTCCTCAAGAAGCTTACATCCTAATGGGAAGATAATTGGGTTTGGCTGTCTGGGGCACTGTGACAGCAAGCTGCGGGACAGATACTGGGCAGGAGAGGGAAAAGAATTTAGTTAGCAGAGTGTCTGTAGCCAAAGGTCCTAGGAACAGTCGGGACCAACTCTAAATGGTCTCTGCCTCCCCAGAGCCCCCTCTATCCACTTTGTTCTGGAAACTGAAGGGTATAGACTACTATACAGAGGTTCCCCAGTTTCAGAGATTCAGAGTAGTAGAATCAGAAGAAACATCAGTAAGAGATCATGTAATCCACAGAATCTTAACCTTTTTTAATGACCCTTTCTCAGAAAAATAATTTCAAAAGTATAAAATAAACTTTGCAATCACAAAGGAAATAAACTATATTGAAACTTTTTTTTATAAAGTTCAAGGACCCCAGGGGTGGGGAATCTGTGGCCTCAAGGCCACTTGTGGCCCTTTGCCTGAATCCAAACTTCACAGAACAAATTTCCTTAATAAAAGCATTTGTTCTGTAAAACTTGTACTCATTCAGATGGTCATACCCAAGGACCTAGAGGCCCACAGGTTCTCCTCCCCTGGCAACCCATTCCTTTCATAAATTGACAAACCCAGAGGGGAAAGTTACTTGCTCAAAGTCACAAAGCAAGTTAATAAATAGATCTAGATGTTAAAGGACCCCAGAAGCCATCTACCCAACCTCCTTATTTTATAGATGGGGAAACAGGTCCAGAGAAGGGTTAAGAGACTTGCCCAAAGTCACACCAACAGTTAGTGCTAGCAAGGGTCCTAGAACCCATGGCTCCTAGTTTCGGGGGCCTTTCCATTGTACTACACTGCTGTCTAAACTCCAGTTCCCATTCCCTGCTCCCTTCTTGTTTTCTCCTTTACTTCTGCCAAGTCCTTAAGAGAAAACCACCAGGTTCACACTTGTCAAGTTGAACTGTTCCCCTGGAGAGTGGTCGGGTGGAGGATAGAAGATAGTCAGCTTTGCCCTCTGACCTTACAATGTGAGGACCCTGAATGAGCCTCCTCCCCACAAAGCACCTCCTCCCAGAAGGGTTTATACAGTCATCCTCGGGTTGCCCTGTAGTTACTAAACTTCATCCTGCTCTAGCATCTCCCCACCCCCCCACCCCCACCCCCCACCCACCATCTGCTTCCCATCTCCAGGTCTGGAATGCAGTACAAATCGATCCTTTCCAAGGAATGGGGGTGGCAGGGGCTGTTCCAGTAGCTACCCCACCTCCAAATAGTTTCTCCTTTCACTGAAATCAACACCAGGAAATCAGGCTTCGTCGTTAGGAAAGAGAAGAGAGGAGGCAGTTTTGGGTGGAATGATAGAAAATTAGAACTGAAAAGAGATCTTAGAGATCATCTAATCCAACTCCCTCATTTTACAGATGATGAAACCAGGAGGAAAAGACTTGTTCAAGGTCACACAGCTAGTAAGTTGGAAAGCTGGAACTCAACCCTGTGTGTTCTGACTCTGGGTTCAATGTTGTTTCCACTTTGCTATGTTGCTGCTGTTAACCATGGTGTCTGACTGGGGAACGGTACTGCTTGCCATCTCGGGGGAGAGGGGGGTAGACCTAGACACTGATGTAGTGTAGAGCTTAGGCACAGTGCTTGAAAGAAGAGCCAGACATAAAGCAAAGGGGGGATGGGGGAAGATCTTCCCCAGCTGTGGGCAGCTGGAAGGACCCAGGGTCTCTGAGCCAAACTAGCAGACTTGGGTGAGGCAAGCTTGAGGGTGTGTGTAAGGAGAGTGTTGTTCGGATACTGGTATGCTAATGAGATGCAAATTGTTCGTTTAAATGGTCACTTCCCAGGTTTTCCTGGCCATCCGATTAAGTTAATTTTTAATTTGTGCTGGCAATAAATGCTTAATTACATTATTAATATATTGGAGTGGAGCAGTGGATGGAGCACTCTAATTGGCATTTAACTAGATCGTTCTGGCAAATTAGCTGAGCTTTTCTCAGGCAGCAGGAGGAGGACATCCCAATTAGTCCCCCATGCTGAGAACTTCTCCCTAGCTTCTCCTGGCAGAGCTTAAGGCAGGGGCACTCCAGACCCAGATCTCTCCCTTCAGACCCACGCACCAGAACATCACTATGGCCTGCATACAGCCTCATGTCCCTGTGGAGGAAATCTCTCACTTAACAAGGGCATCTGACTCCAGGACACTGGGAAGGACGCCTGTAGGCATGTGGCCTAGTTGTAAAGGGTAGGTAAGAAATCCTATCAGAAAGCTATGGGAAATGAATCCAATGACTTATGGGAGAATCCTATTTGTCCTTCTCCCATAGGGAGGGGAACAGCAGTTATAGTAGCTTAATCCTTAGGACACTTAATGTCCACCTAGAGCCCAGGAATGCCAGGAGTGCCTTTAGAATGTGTCCCATCTACCCCAGGGAGGTTGTCCCACCTTGACTGATGATGGATCAGCAAGGATGGCTGAGACATAATAATAGTTAGCACATGTATGGTACTTTAATATTTACAAAGCACTTTGTATATATTTCCTCATTCGAGCCTCACGATAACCCTGGGGTAGGGTGCTATTATCATCCCCATTTAATGGATGAAGAGACGGAAGGTCATAAAGGTTAAATGACTTGCCCATTGTCACATAGCTGGTAAGTGTGGAGAGGAAGGATTTGAACCCAAGCTTTCCAGATTCCAAGTTCAGCTGTGGG